GAGTGCAGCCACTGAGTTGAAGGGGGGGGCCGCACTCACTTTTTTCTAAAATATTTAATTAACTTTGTTTTTCTTAAAGAAGTCTGCAAAGGGATCCTAAAGTCATGCAGCTGGAGCTCGGGGCCTGCCACTGCAAAGCTGGAGCCTAGGGGGGTATGTCTACACTAGCCACCCTAGTTCGAACTAGGGTGGCTAATGTAGGCATTCGAACTTGCAAATGAAGCCCGGGATTTAAATATCCTCAGCTTCATTTGCATGTTCCCAGGTGCCGCCATTTTTAAATGCCCAGTAGTTCAAACTACCTGCCCGCGGCTACACGGAGCACGGACTAGATAGTTAGAATTAAAACTCCTAATTCGAACTACCGTTACTCCTCATTGCAGTAAGCACATCATTGAATCTATGAAAGAATCATTCAGCTGGTAATGAAGCCATTTAACGGGCATTTGCAAACCTCAGGTATATACTGTAACTTTCTGAATTTATTGTGCTAGTGGACAGGACCTCTGTTTAAAATCTGTGTTGATGAAGATTAGAAAATCACATCTCTAAAATAATTGTAATCTGCCCCTTCCCCAGCCTCCCCATTCTGCCACCAGGGTAGGGTCATCAGTCTAATAAACTGAAAAAAAACCCAAATAGTCTGGTAGCACTTTATAGACTAACAAAACTACCAAACTATTTGTTGTCTTTTCAATTTGTCCTGTACAGACTAACGTGGCTATCCCCTGAAGCATCAATCTAATAGTTCTGTATAGGGCCTCATAAATCCTAAGGACATCCCGGATAGCAGATAATAAAGTAGTTATATGCTTATATTAATTTTCCCTTGTGGTGCAAGTGATGGGAACGTTAGTAGGAAAGCGATACAGGTGTTGCCAGAAATGTGACTGCACCAGAGCTCCAACCTTGCCTCAGGACTCCTGTGCTATCGCATGCCTTAGAGGCTCGCTGTGGCCCCTCTCGCAGCCTCTGTCCCTTTCACAGCCTCCTGAGCCTGCCTCATCACAGGCTAGTCAAGCGGGGTTTGGAGTGAACTCCTCTTTAGTCCTGAACTCTCCCTTAAGGTTCAGCCGAGTGAGTCTGTAACAGGACTATTACTAGACTGTTTGTTGTTTAAGTTTTTCCTGTTACAGACTCACTTGGCTCCTCCTCTGAAGCTTATCTACCCATTCTCTCTCTCTTTTCTCCCTCCCCTCCTATTTTTTCTCCTTTTCTTTCTTTTTTTCTTCCCCTCCCTCCTTCCCTTATCTATTCTGGGATCTGGACTTCCAATGCTCTGGTCATCTGAAGAAGTGGGCGGTGCCCGCGAAAGCTCATAATACCAACTACATGTTTGTTAGACTCTAAGGTGCTACTAGACTATTTGTTGGTTTTTAAGTTTTCCCTTTAAGGGGCAGCCTGTGTAGCGGTGCAGGGAGGGTTGGGAGGAACCTGGGCTCCAGGTTCCAGCCCAGGGGCCATAATGGCAATGGCAGCAGGTAGTAATTCCTCCACCACCAGAGCTGCAGCTATTCCCTGAGCAACTTCCCCAAAGAACTCCTCCCAGTATCTTTCTCCTGGTACCAGATCACATATTTCCGGTCTTCTCCAGCACCTCTTCACTCCCAGTCCTTGGTCTGCAGGCCCTCCCCTATGGGAAGCCTTTTACACTAGCCCCAGCACATCCTAAATGAGCTGCAGGTGTTCTGATTAGCCTGCTGCTTCTGGCCAGCTCCTCATTGCCCCCAGACTTTTCCTGATGGTGCTGCAGCAGCCACTGCCCTGGTTACCAAGGGAACAGAAAACTGCTCTCCTAGGGTATGTCTACACTACAAAGTTAGTTCGAACTAACGGACGTTAGTTCGAACTAACTTTCATAGGCGCTACACTAGCGCTCCGCTAGTTCGAATTTACTTTGAACTAACGGAGCGCTTAGTTCCAACTAGGAAAACCTCATTTTACGAGGATTAAGCCTAGTTCGAACTGGCTAGTTCGAATTAAGGGGTGTGTAGCCCCTTAATTCGAACTAGTGGGAGGCTAGCCCTCCCCAGCTTTCCCTGGTGGCCACTCTGGCCAACACCAGGGAAACTCGTCTGCCCCC